CATAGTCGGACGCTAACAATCGCCTCCCCCAGCGACCGAGACGGAAATAGGCCTTTGCGGCGGACATGAGCATGAGGGGTACGATCACTAACCCAACCGTCGGGGTGACTTGGGTCCGTACACCTTGCATGGATGTGAAGAATCACATCACACAGCGGCTTTATCAGTGGTACTAGGCATGCATTGCATTGCATCTGCCTCGAAATGCTCAATGACCGGAACTGAATTTTGGTATCGACTTGTTTCTTGTCACGCTGTCTGGCCAGCTTTTGCCTCGAACTGCTGGGGTCACCATCCCCCGGAACGGACTTGTATTGGCTCCATGCATGCTCCGAACGGCGGGCATGTATGTAAGCATGCACTCGCGGGAAGTATTATCCGCGGGTTTATAAGCAGCAAGGAAGAAGCATGAACCAAGGCCGGCCAAATCAAGGCAAGCCCTGTTCACAACCCTCTTCGCTCTTCACACGCGCAACCTGCGGTGAGACAGCGTGGTTGACTTTGGGTGTGTGACCAGCTGCTTTGAGTAAGTAACTCTCGTCTCCATTAGCCTGGGTGTGGTGCGTGTGATATTATCCACATGGCCTGCCGTTGCCGAGTAGTAGGTCGGGATGAAGCGCTGTGATAGCAGACGGCCAAGAACCCACCTCTTCAGGTGATGGATCGCGACATGGTAATTGGGTGCCACGCGTGATGGTGGTAATCGCCTATTTTCATCACTCGATGGCAATGTGGGATTGAACAGTGCCGAAAGCAATAGCCCTGCATGAGGTTGGGGGCCGATATGAAGCTCTTCCGTGATAGTGGCTACACCATGTTTCGCTTGGGTCGGGTTGGCCTCGCTCTGAGTGTGACCGAGGCGACTGAGATTGACGACCTGTCCGCAGATTTGATCCGCACGGCTACTGGAGCAAGCCCGTGGAGCTCGAGGCCAATCCCATGGAACACTCTGAGTATCACCGAGAGAGTAATCAGGGAGTTTTGCTGGCTGGCGGAGTTTTGGCGGGGTTTTGGAGGGTCTGCATGGGGGAATCTGGGAAGGAGCGCACCTGCCCTTCCTGCCTGGACATCGTGACGGATTCGTACCTTCTGGATTCCCCGATGAGTCCGATCTGGCCAGGGAGCACTGATGCCCCGAGATTTCGATGGCACCCTGGCGACCACGTCATGTTACACGTCTCGTTCGTTGCATTTTCCCTGCCGGGGCTGAGATAGCTTACTGCCTGACCAACAGTTTTGTGATTATCCAGGATGCTGGTAGTAGGCTGTCACCTCACATTTGCACTACCATCCACGTGGTGTTGGTCCCCATATCAAGGTGCGTATCGAGGCAGGTAGGTAATTTTAGCATCTTGCGTTAGTATTGGAGACAGCTGCATGAGAAGTCACCACCAATGTTGCACTAGCCCAGTTGGCCAATAACGTCTCTTTGACCCAGCAGGGAGATCCATCTGTGATATTTCTCTGTCCTGCCATGTATCTGTATAATATATGCTGCCCCTGAAAAGTTCCTCCCAGTCCGAAGGATCCTCCCACGCCGACAACCCCCTTAGATGCGATTGTTCATCGGTAACCGCCCGCCGTGGACCAGGGCTACTGACGAAGCACGCCGTGTTGTGATACCTATTCACAAATGGCACCTTCCGCTATCACGACGCCCCCAATCCTTCCCGCCTGCTTACCCGGAGAAGCCGTCTTTGTATTGCATTGGACTCGGGTACGGCTCCATCGTAAGCGTTTCTTGGCCTGGCGTAGACTGCCTCCCCAGCACGCGTAGACCGAACTGGGATGATGGAATTCATGTCGTTGGTAAGCTGTGACAGAATATGGCCGAGGCATATATGGTGCATGGACTATTGGGGAGGTGAAATTAATCCATGAATGAAGCAACACCGCTCCCCAGTGCCGCGTTACAGCCACGCAGCTCCTCGTGTGATGGAAGAAGAGCGATTCGCAGCTCCTCACTTCCAGTGGAGGTCCTTGGCAGACTTGGACTGCATCACTGATCGAATGAAGTACTTGATGCTGGACGATGAGATCTCGTCATCCCCCATCAGCACATCAGTTCCGTCCTTGTGATCTCTGGAGCAAGCCTTCTCGCCGAGCTCCAGCACTTTAGCCAATTCTTCGACAGAGAATGACCCTGTGCTCTCGGAAAGAAGGAGCCCGCCGTCGCCTGTGAAACCAACTACATGAAGTGACTTGGCACGGCGTGCTTCAATGGCGGTCGGTTCCAGAGTGACACGCCCAGCTGAAGTGCCATCCTCTGTGATAGCCAGCGTGCATGCCGTGACAATAGTTTTCAATGGAATAGAAGCGGTGAGAAGACCCAGGATGGCTGCATGCAACAGAGCGGGTATGACTGGGAGGTTCTGGGGAGTTCCAGGTTAGGATTCACGAGACGCAACATTTGAGGGCGCGATGGAGTGGCCTACCAGCTGGGCTTGCAAAATTTTAGCGTTCTCATAGGCATTCTCAGGAATCTCGACAATTTGGAGGGTAATTTGAATCATGGTTCTTGGGAAATCCCTGATAGGAATGAGTTGCCGGAGCGTGCTCTGCAGAATAGATTCTAACTGTCTCTCCGCGGTGCCTGGAAACTGACATGTTAGCTACTGTCTCTTCCTTATCAATTTCAACTCGCATGGGAATTGACTAATTAATTACCTCCTACACCTGCTGCTGGCCGAATAATGACATCGACAAGCGCCTCAAAGGCATTCTCATCTCGCCTGGGAGCTTCCACGGGGCCATTGACGGCTGCCGTGACAACAAAGCCGTTGTGGGAAAATGTTGCCGATCCGTCCGCTCGAGGCAGAGGAGCTAGATCAGCAGCCGGCTGCGAGGAGAGGGCCATGTTTCTGAATATATCCGAGAGGTTGACCGGCGATTTGATCTGGCAAGAAATTCCACGGATGCCAATAAAAGCGGAATTGAAGCTTTTTGACCCTATACCCAAAGAGAGCAAGTGATAGGCCTAAAGGGCTGGTGGGGTGATGAGGTAAGGGTCTATCCGCCACCACAGACGCGCCCAGTGGTCGGAGCCCCGCGGATCTGCCACTATAACCTAATACCAGCCCTTTCGTCGGTGGCAAGCTCGCGACCTCTTCCATTTCATTCCCTTTTAAAGCTTCAAGAACCCATCTACCAAAGGAATAATAGTACAGCAAAAGACGTTCTAATGGCTACAGAAAACGCACCAGCATCCTCCATCCCGAACCTCAAAGAAAGACTCCCCAAACTTGAACCTCGAAAACGACGACAGGGACTCTCGAACCAAACTCCCATTCCAGATACTCCCGCCCTCCCCTCGCCGCCCGATACGTCCTCCTGGGCCTACAAGACTCCCAAGAAGAGGATCCTCTCGCCAAAGGACCACAGTATCTTCCTCGCTTCGCCCACAAGCACCCTCGTCAAAGCATGGATCTTCAACCTTGCAGAGTCGGTCGTCGATACCCCCTGTTCAGCAGTCAAGGACAATGAGCTCAGCAATGTCGTTAAAACAATCATCTCGATCTTGAAGGAGGCAGAGGGCTTCGTCGCCAAGTCTCCTCCCGATGAGCAAGGCGGCTCCCGCTTCGGAAACAAAGCCTTCCGCGGCTTCATAGACCTCGCCAGCGAGGCCTGCCCCAGATGGCACCGCTCACTCGGCGTATCCGACGACGACGCCATCGCCGAAGCTTCGAAATACCTCCAGCAGTCATTTGGCAACCGCAACCGTATCGACTACGGCTCAGGGCACGAGCTCAACTTCATGCTGTGGCTGCTCTGCTTATACCAGCTGAAAATCGTCCAGCGAGACGACTTCAAAGCCCTGGTGCTCCGCGTCTTCCCACTCTACCTTTCAGTTATGCGCATTGTCCAAATGTCATATTATCTAGAACCCGCAGGCTCGCATGGCGTCTGGGGCCTTGACGACTACCAGTTCCTCCCCTTTCTCTTCGGTGCCTCTCAGCTCCTCCATCATCCCTACATCATCCCCCGGTCGATCCACCAGGACCTCACTCTTGAGGAGTCCGGCGAAGATTACTTGTATCTAGGGCAGGTGAACTTCGTCAACAGCACGAAAACGGTCAAGGGTCTTCGGTGGCATAGCCCCATGCTCGACGACATTTCATCTGCAAAGTCTTGGACCAAAATCGACGGCGGCATGCGCCGAATGTTTGTTGCTGAGGTGTTGGGCAAACTCCCTGTGATGCAGCATTTCCTCTTTGGCAGTCTGATCCCGGCGGCTGAAGGCATGAGCCCCGAATCGGCTACCGACAACAAGGATGGAGAAGACGACGAGGATGTGGACCCTGATCATGAACATGACCACCCGCATGATGGTACAGGCTGGGGCGCCTGCTGTGGCATCAAAGTGCCCAGCAGTATAGCGGCAGCTCAAGAATTGCGCAAAAATGGCCAAGGCCAGACTCTACGGAGGATCCCTTTTGACTGAGTCTGTGGATAGAAGCTTCAGGAGCTGTGCATGCTTAACATGAGAGAAAATACCTACAGGTAATGTTATTAGGGTTATCTGGTCTTGGTGGCAAATAATAATGAAACAGAAGTTTAAAACAACTCTTTCAGAATCTGTCCGTGCTCTCATTCACTTATTGATGGTTATCTTATTGATGATTGTAGGTTCAAGTTTCTGCAAGACCCTGTGAACATGAATAGAATCATCTTCTTACGAGATTGAAAAGCTATTGCGAGTATATTGACCGTTTGCAATAAACATATTTAATTCCTAGTTAAGCGAAAAGACCTAACTAATCCACATACCACAAAACTGAAAACCGTATGCTGCCGTCCGGATGTTGTGAACAATTAACAAAATAGAATAGAAAAAAAAATCAGATTGAGCCGCCCCTGCGGGTATAATACGTCGTTAGTCATTCGTGTTCCTTCCATTGCGCCTTGTTAATTCGAGACAAATGTCCTTCCCATAAGATTATGCCAATTTGAACATGCCTTCTTTGCTGAAGAGGCAATGCACTAGCAATCTCCGTATTAGTTTACAAAACTGGCATAGGACCTGTTTCATCCGAGTATTCCTGCTGTGAAGGTGCCTGCCGCATCTGGCGTGTGTTGTGAATATCGATGAGCACCTGTATCATCGTTTCTACGTCTCGCCCGAGATAGGCAAGTTCGTCAAGAGTTGGGTAATGTGTTGAGTTTTGAGTATCCTTCTTGCGGAAAGCGGCGAAAACAATCCCACGGTCAACCAAGGTTGCTGTGGTTGATTGAGTGGAAAGAGACGAGCCTGAATCGCGTTTATCTCCGGCAGAACGGGGGTAAAATGTATAAGCATAGGCGCATGCAAAGTCGTTCTCAGCCTGTTCATCTCGATACTCCATCCATCCTGGAGACTGTAGAATCTTCGTGTGGACTTCAGACGAGATTTGAAATGGCGAGGGGCTATGATGCAAACCGTACGCGACCAGAAGTCTTCCAGTCATGCCTTGGATGGGGTATGAATCGCGGGGAGAATGCGAGACTGTATTTTCGGGCCACAGATTTACGACGTAAAGCATGTCGAACTTGTATCTGCTGGCAATGCGGGCCGCCTCAAATGCAGCAACCCTGGCTGGGCGGCTTGTTGAAGGCTGCTCCAATGTCAACAGTGGTGGATCTCGCAAAGGCAACGACAAAACTGAAGGGGCCAAGGTAATCGACGTATAAGACCGACGTGGATCATCAGAGAACAAGGACCCTTCAACGTATGACTCGGCGACATTTTCATCGCTGAGTGTGAAAAAGTCACAAACTTCAGGCTCTTGGAGAGATGCGCTCGAAAAAGAAGAGTGGGGAGAGGGCTCAGATCCCTTATTTTGGTCAGGGTGAGGAATTAAAGCTGTAGTAGGATTGATTATTGGCTCTCCTAATTTCCGTTTGATATCGTCACACAGGTCTTGATTCAGAATATCGATGGTCTGGTTGCTGAGAAGTTCCCAATCCGGTAGAGGACCAATCTCGGGGGAAGACTCTGGTGTTGGAAGAGACTTGTAATTAAAGGACGCAGGCTTTGAAGAGATTGGCCGTCCCAGCGAGGAACATTCTGTTTCAATATCGGAAGATGGAGGTGTGTCAGTCCGGTTTGGGGAAATCTGGAAATGTAATGTGAATGATGTTCCAGATACAGGCCTCGAGGGTGCGTCGGGAAGTGGTTTGGAATTCAACTCGAAGGGTGAAATACGGCCACGTCGAATTGGGGGTTTTGGGAAGCCAAATTCATCGAAAGTAGAGCACATCTGTCTCGAACGCTCACTATCAAGTGAAGATGATCGGGGTCCAGCCAGTGTCCATTCACGAGATGTCGAAGTTGCACGAGACTTCCGGCTGTCAATCGATCCGTATCGCTGGGGGAAGTCTGTTTCATTGGTGGCTTGAAACCTGGCTCCTGGGGTATAACGAACTTCCTCCCGAGCAGCCATACGTGAGGTTTTCGGTCGAATGAATGATGGTGAGGGAAACTGCAAGTCCATATGTTGCTTTGTGGGACTACTGGGTACGGTGGAAGCTGTGACTGACACCCCCAAGGCTTTTCGCTTCTGAAAGAAGAATCTCTCAAGTTTATCTAACCCGTTCGCCATCGTAAAGGTCTGGGAGTTGAGTCAGTATGGTGTGCCTCATCTTGGTCTAGGGGTGTGCGTCGGAATCAAATATAACGTACTGACTATGGGTGCTGACTCGGTAACTGAGAGGTATTGATGCTTTCTTGGTATACCAAGGTAATTAAAGAAACTGCTGAAGCAGTGTTCTGTCTGTGTTTGGCATACACACGAAGTTCAAGGCACACTCTGCCTGACACCGGGCGTAATAATAGTTTTAATTGTGGTTGAGATCCGAGATAAGTGCTTGTTTTCCTACTCTTAGCAAATTCCGGGCTTCTGATCTAAAATCGAAATTCGCAGAACGAGGCGTGATGAGGCTAATATTCGTTTGTTGCAGGAGGGAACCCTTGCTGCGCAGCGAGGGTTGACTCTAATCCTGGGAGATCACCGCGGCCTGTGTCGAGTTTCAAGTTCAATCGATCGAACCGTCGACGTCGAAGATTGGAATTGGTTGGAAAGCCTTCGTGTTGTACAGTTTCGGTTATTTGGATAAGAGACAAAGAATTTGCCCCGAAGGATACTTGGAATTGGAGAAGGTGTAGAATTCGGATTTCCTTCTTCCTTGTTCTTTTTCCTTCGAAGTTGAGGTGGGAAGGGAAAGAGCAAGGGGGCTGGGGCGGGCGCGATAAGAGGCAAGTGCGATGGAGGTGAGGTGAGGTCAGGCGAGGTGAGGCAAAGGTGAGCTGCAAGTGAATCAGGGCAGGTTCGTCTGAACTCTACTCCTACCTCTCAATCCAGCTAGAGAGATTCTCAATTGATCCAGAGATGGGAGCACCAGGTTGGCTAGCACCCAACAAGACACAGATCAGAGCTGTTCCTCCTGGTACGTGTAGAAGCTGCAAGAGACGAGCGTTGATGTCGAAGGGCCAAAGGAAGGGAAGTCAGGGAGAGGCAGGCCACCAGGTAACATGGATGTGGAAGATATCTGATTGGCATCCTTCGAAAATGAACGACTCAGGCTCTGGGTGAGACGAGGATCGGGGAGTCTTTAAAACAGGGAGTGTCTGTCTCTCCCTGTCGCTATGGTCTAGAAACATGGAGCCAAATCCAGTACGAGGCATCTCAGGTAGGAAAGAAGGCAGGCAGGCAGGCAGATATCACATTCGGACAGACCTGCGTGTACAATGTGGAACATTGACGCATCTACCGCTCTGATGAACCACAGGTGCTCTGTCCATTACGCTCAGGTAGCGGCCAAGTACCCATGGGGCTGATGCTCGGTTGGGGGAGGCATGTGAAGTGCACCTACATAATGATGGCTACTACACAAAGGCGGCCGGGTGCCGCCATTACCCATGTTCATGCCTACTTGGGCCTCTCCACACTCAACGGGTGGCTGCCAGAGCTGATGAAGTTACTTGTGTTTTGCATCGCCTGGGAGATCTGAGCCGGCACCTATCAGAGCTGAGACAGACACATTTCCCGATCGAAAGCCGAGACAAAACAACATACCTATCCACACACCCACGCTGGACCAGCTGAATACCTCATGCAACAGCCAGCAAACACACACAGAAAGGGAGAGCAGGGAGGCAAGGGTGACGGCCAGCCTAGAACATGTTCGTTCATGCCGGTGGAGATGATGGGAGGATGCCTCCATGTTGAGAGCTGAGCGCACGGTCCGGGGTGGTGGGCCTTCGTTCAGACGCCCTGACCGACGCCTAGATCGACGCAGAAATGTTACTTCTCTGCTTCTACCTACCTACATGTTTGCATGTGGGATTCAGATCGTTGGAGAGCAGATTCAGAGAGCGCGCGCCTCCATTGGCCACCATGGCTTTGCCACCACCCACGAGACAAGGCGCTCCATTGGTATCAGAATCAGGGTACTTGTCTCTCGGTCCGTTCTGGGGAAGTGGGAAAAAAGAAAAAAGAAAAGAAAAGGTAACGGGCCCTAGGGGAAAGCTGAGAAAAGGAAAGAAAAACAACGGCCCCAGGGAAAGAGACATACAATTCCCCTTCGGTGCCACAAAGTCTCCTCGGCAGGGGAACACCTGTCCAATCTGCTCGAGCCTATTATCAACGGTATGGGAGTGCATGCAACATGGACCAGTCAACATCGAGTGCTAGTCAAAGCTACCAGCGTTGAGCATCATGGCGGCTTACTGCCATGTAGATTGCCGCAATCTAAGCTCCATTGAGTGATCCACGCAGCCAGATTAGCGTTTCTCTGCATGATATCAGCAGCGTATCGATACTTGCTCCCACCATGAATGCCGGCATAGGCCTGTTCTTCCAATCCCTCCTTGCTTCTTTTGCTTCGCTTCCTCCTCCCCGTGGACTAATTTGTACAGCAGCCCCTCATCCTCACCCTCACACATTCCCCACGCCCAAGGATCGCCATTGAGGGGCTCCAGCCGCCAATGCAATGCATGCGCAATGTCCTCCCTGAGCCCTCCCTTCACTTGGCACCGCGTCGCGTATCAGGGAAGGGAGCAACGCTTCCGTATGCATGCACTTGCAGGTAGCAACCGATCGAGACGATGGTGCAACTGTGGGATGGAGGCGGACACTTCCGCGCAATGCTCAAAGTCTGCGGAAACGCCTTGCATATGTACCCGGTAATCTGGCTTGCATCTCGGCTACTACGCCTTGGCCTTGGCCATGGAGCAGGTGTCCATCTACAAACATACACCACTATCATCTCCATCAAAACTGAGAACTCACATTTTGGCAAGCTGAGCCGCCCCGCTTCTCCCTCCCTCTCGTGCTTTGACCTCTGGTTACTCTTCTCTAACCGCACTCTCTTGCCCATTCAGCTGGCTGCGCAGGCATTGCTGAGTCGATCAGTCATCTCGACGCGACACAGGTCATCTTTTCTCACTGGTTTCCTCTTTCCTCTTCCACTTTTATGGTTATGTGGAGATACCGACAGTACGGCCACTGATACTATTGACCAACCTCATCCGGCGGTTTATTTCCTGTTTTCCTTCGATACGGGCCACTAGTGGGTGATATTGTAGCCCTGTGTATCGTGATGATTTAATTGATAAAATCCACGTGCATTGACCGATATCGGCTTCCACACCAGAGGCTCCCAAGATCGAAGCCCTCGGATTCGCCAGAATCGAACTGGGTTCTCGGTTTCAGTCTCGCTCGTATGCTCACGAAAAGCAAGCATGGGAACTGTTCAGAACCACCCCAGCGTGTGGCAAGCGTGGCAAGCGAGGAGTCCACAGGGAGCATGACCAAAAAAGCAAAGACAACTTTGACCACGGTCCATCGTGGCTCCAGAGTTCGTCCATAGCCAACGCGAAGCCTCCCTTCCCAGCAGCTAAGCTAATAGGAGCTCTTCCGGCACTTTGGTTGTTTCCTTGCATAATTTTTCTGCCTTCGTTTTCAACCTATCCTCGAGCTAGGATCTTGATTGTATGGATGCTGGCCACTATGGGGGGGGTACAAAATGTGCAAGACATTAAGCCACAGTCCGCCACCGTATTACATCCCCGGTAGCCAAATGGGGGGCTTAGAGACGAGGAGACCTTTTGTTACAAACGTACACAGACCTATGGCGTCGTGACGATCCACCATTGAGCCGAGCAAATGTCCAAGGTGGCCCAGTCCACTCCTTGGCTAGGTACGCAGAGCCTTACTTGTATGTGTCCCCCCATGGAATATGAAAAGAAGAAAAAGAAAATTCACTACGCTCATGCCGTGCTTCGCACATGCCAATCTATGACCTTAGCGAGCTCGGTCCGAGTATCGGGCCTCTCACGAACTCGGCACGTTTTGTGCTCCCGTGTTTTCATGATTTCCTCTGGCATTTACATTTTCAGTTGACTTACTTTAGCAGGCTTAGGAGGAAACTTGTTCGATGATTCATGACAGTATGTGACCGCCCAAGGCTGTCATCCTTACTTAAGGTACCCAATCATGTGGGTGACGGGAGAAATGAGACATCCAACGGAGGAGCGACTATGAATAGACCACTCTCTATGATGAACAGAAAGATTCAGTCGTATAAAACGAAATAGAGTAACAATATATACTGTACTATCTCTGATATATGTACTATTGTCGCTTAATACTTTGATAATACTGATCGCAGGCTCGAAAATAAGCAGCTTAATGTTTGAGTATCTCAATCTCAATGTTTTCAGACAAGGTGATGAAAAATATGTCGTCTCATCTTGAAAAGTCCACGTCACAGATCTCTGCCAACCCTAAACCTGAGTGACAAGCTGTCGGTTTCTCACACAATTTTCATCCCCTGCATATGCGAAAACAGACAGAAACGAGCTGAAGACTGTCATATTTTTTTTGTGAGCCAGACTAAGTTACTATCAACTATTGATCAGTAGTATTCTAAATCACAAATACTTTGAGGCACGATATCCACAATCAGGCACGAAGATGTCTGTGCAAATTTTTCACGATGCAGAAGACCCAGCCTCTGAGTTTATTGGTCTTCATCTCTCCCTGTGGTCAGAAATTAGTATTCTGGTGACAAACGAGCACGCTCTCAACGCCAATTCCTGACCGCCTTTACTCTCCCAGCCTCGTTTCACGAATCAGTAGACGAGCCCGGGAGCTTAATTTACGCGCCTCTCATTCCCAGACAGCCAGTTAGGCGGCTGTATTGATGCCAGATGACTGTCCGTACCGCGGAGATCGAGCGCTAACGCCTCATTACCTCCTCCATCCAACCAATGCCTCGCGTCTGGATACTCTCTTCCAGCTATAGGTATCCTGTCAGCCAGGTAATTTAATTAATCATGTATATTATGCGGGATAATGTCCTTGGCGCATCGTGCTAACGGTCGCGGCCCCTTACGGAGACCCCGAACGATCGATCTGCCAAGACGTGCAGGTTCTACTCCTGTTCCAGCCATGCATACGCATGTGCCTTGCTTCTTTAGTCTGCCTCGTCTGTTCTTCTGTCTCCGCTTATCCTTGTCAAACGGTTCTAAAATCCCCTAGACATACATACAGACATGGAAAGCAATAGTCTGGCTTCACCTCGTCGGTTACTCCCTGCTCTCTCCCATCTCCGGTCATCAACCTCGTGGTTTTCCAATAAGTCGTCAGATCATGCCACGAGAAATTGCACATGCAAATGAACAGATCCTGGTTTCAATAGGAAGGAAATTTTACCATGGTACCAAGAAAATAGTGTCTTGAGTTCCGTTGACGGCAGGTAAAATGTCTGGCCCCAGCCTTTCTTCTTGACTCAGATGCATCCTGTTCCGCTCCCCCCCGTTAGACCGCCGCCCACAGCCTGTGCCTCCTCTATGTGAACGAGATACATCATTTGGTACCTCGGGCGGTACCCCTTTACTCGATATGGGAAGAGGCAGTCGGTGATCTACAACAGGGGTTACTCACAGATCGGACGGAACGCAGCCACCTGTTTGTCCGGATTGCAACTCACTGTCTTGAAATTCGTTCAACATTCACGTACCCCGGAGCTTTCTATCCCCGTGCCACAAATCTGGAATCCTCGTTTTCGGGGTCGCACCAGAGCCGTTGGCCAAGGCCCCGGTTTCACTCTGAGAGCTTCATGACCAGACCCTTCTGCTCGGAATCATGCATGGGAAGGGGGATTTGCCACCCTGTGAAGAAAGGACTCAGCTGAGTGTCAGAAGAAATGAGACATCAAATTGAAAGGCGGTTACGTATGAGCTCTTTTACATCATGATTAGAATAATACAGCAGTCTAAAACGATATAAACATATAAGAAATATTTAATGTATTATCTCTTTAGTAGTTAACCCTCAATACTCTGATAATACTGTTCGTAAACTTGACAATACGCAGTATGATGGTTGTGTGTCTCAAATTTCAATGTCACCCACTTGGGACTCTTCAATTCAAAAGCAACCCGGAAGAACAACTGTTGTGCATCTGTCGGTGGAGTTTGTTTCTAAAATTCTAGACAGCTGGCGTGATACAGCGTCACTTTTCATCCCGTCCCAAGACTGGCAGATCGAAGCCCCCACCCGAGAATCACAGCCTTGAAGCGCCTGCTTCACCATCAATTTCGCCAAACATATTCATGAAAGCATTGTGAACCTCGTCCGTCAGGTCACTTGCCTGTAGACTCCGACCTCGTTTGGAAAAGGCGAGACGGGAGCTCTCCTGGAGGCACGGTTAGTCAAATATCAAATGTGCTGGTCGGCTGCTGCATTCGTAGTTGTGAAACTCACTCGAGTAATGGCACTTCCTCCAAACGCAGCCAACTGAATCATCTCGCTCCTACCGAGCTTCTCGCTCCCTGCATCCCAAAGCCCGTCCATGTATGCCTTCCTCCAGGCCAGGAACGTGGCGACAGATCCCGTCAGGGTATCGCCCTGCCCACCACTTCTTTTCTTGCCACCCTCCATGTCGTTTTTGATTGTGTACTTCCCATTGGAGATAAAATCGTTTGCTCCCTTTTCTATGATGGTCACTCCTTGCAGTGCCTTTGCGAGAGCCTCTACCTTGGCCGTCTCACCTTCCTGGCCAGTCACGTCGACGCCCAAGGCATTACACAGGCGCTTAAACTCGACCACGTTGGGTGTTAGTATGGCCTGTGTGTAGCCACTGACCAGACCGGGATCTTTTTGAACAACCAGGAGAGCGTCTGCATCCAGAACAAGTGGCAGGTTCTTGGACCTGGCAGCTTGGATTACCAGGGCCACAGTATCCTGCATCAGCGGATCTCGACCCAGACCTGGCCCGATGACGAGGACATGGAGCCTGGACATCATGTCGATGACACGGGAAGCCACATGATTGGGGTCGGTCTCCGGATCCCCGGGCCCTTCTGACAATGAGGCTGTGGGGGATGACTGGCGCATGAGTGGATGGACCATTAGATTGGGCGAGTAGGTCTTGATGACCGCAGCGGCACCCGGAGTGCAGATGACATGAGACTTGGCACACTTAGTTTAGAGCCGCCATCTTCATAACCACAATCATTATAGGCTGTGGTATTGTATCATTGAGGTAAATACTTACCATATCGCAGCCAAGCCTGGCACTGGCCATGGCGGAGAAGTAGGGCGCACCGGTGTAGTCTTCACTCCCCCCTAGAACCGCCACACGTCCAAGCTGGCCTATTCATCGTAAGAATATGGATAAATACGAGAGATGATTCTCGAGAAAGAGTCGCACACCTTTGTGGAACTTTTCAAGCATTGGCGGAATCATCCGCTGGACCTTGCCGAGGATCGCCTTGGTTGCGTTTGACATGTCGGGGGCGGACGCCTCAGCGGGCATAATGGTTGAAAGTGAGAAAGGTTGGTCGGACAAAACAGATTTATGGATATACAGTTTAGAGAATATGCATCACATGCGCGGATGGGGGATGAGGCTTGGTGGGGAGATGAAGGAGAGAAGAGTGTCATAGGTGTTGATGCTCATAGCTATTACCTACTTCAGCGCTCTCCACTGACAATGACAGGCCTTGGGGACCATAAAATGTCATAATGACCATCACGACTTCATCTTTCCATGAAGAACTCAACAGCGCATTGGCTAATAGTCGCATAATATTCCAAATTATTTGCCTTCTCAAAACATAACCATGCAGTTACAAAAATTATCTGCCATAGATAGTCACCGTTTCACACACTCTACGTGTAATCATGATGACTATTTTCGCGGAAATACCTAGTTATAGAAAGCTTGACAGTGTGAAATTCTAACCGATTTCTGGATATAATTCCCGCGTCATCCTCTCACCACCACGGCTTCTTGTTTCAATGCTTCAAATGAGGGGAAACGGTAGAATCTCATCGTAGTTAATAATTAGCATCCCCATCTACGCACGAGTTATTTTCAATATTTCCTCATCCTCTTCACTACCATCATCCTCGTCATGGCTGGCTTCACTACCATCGCCAGGTAAAACTCCAGAGGTAGTATGTGCACTAATGATTTGGTCACACTCCCTATCTTCTGCATCAAAGAACTTCGGAATTCTCGTTGGAGTTGCTTGTTCCTGTAGTTCAAAGAAGTAGGCCACATCGTGAATATCTCCATCTCGCTCGCTGATATCACCAGACTCGCCAAGTTTCGATAGAAACTGGTGGGTAGAATTGATGAGATCAGAACCGCTTTGATTTCGAGACTCTTTCAAATATGAGTTCATTGCTGCAACCAGGCTCTTTCGCCTAGCTCTCTGGCTGTTGAACATCCCAATGATATCAGAGCGGGCATGGTCCAATTGACAACATGGAAGGGTCCGCAGCAATAGTACCAGAGGTGGTGGATACGAGTTTGGCAATTTTCGATGCCCTGCTGAATGTATTCGATTTCTGAAAATGGTAGCAACTGGGCACAATAATCGAACAGTATAACAATAATCAGAAGCATGATAAGTAAATAGCATAGGTAATAAGCAAACAGCACAACAATAGCATAACACAACAGCACCCTTCATCTCTCTCTCTTCTGTCTTTCTTCAACGCAAGGTTTTGATTTCACTTTGCTTCTATCTCTGGATAGCTTACGCTCATGGGCTCAATACTGAAAATGGTAAAACTTCATTGATTTGCTTTTGACCTGTCTTGAAAAGGCTCGAATCTGCACCTTTTGATACCTCTCCATATCCATTGTCTTCCAACCCTTTAAGTCATCCAACGCCGCCACTTTTATCTCAAGAGCAAGGCTATCTTAACCAAGTCTCGTATCAGATTCATTTCCCAGTCTGGCAACTCCTCTCTCGCCAGAACTGGCAGCAGACCTCCCAAGATGAGGGATTCATAAGAAACGAGAGCTCCCCGTCAACCTTTCCACTTCTACTACCACCATATGGCATCCGTACCGCAAGGTTATACTAGCCTGATGATCCCTACATTGCTTTTTGGGGCCCCAGCCGCGCACTAAATTCGTTTCCCTGTCCTTAGTTACCTAGTTGCTGGTAGAACATCCATTTTCCGAAGTCCCAGACGTCGATTCCGCAGCCACCGGGCGTTTTCATTTTCCCTTCCCAGTATCGGTTGATTCATAGATAGTTTCAGGAACAGGTCTACCAGCAGGTTGGGTGGTGACTGATTCAAGAGAAGCGGGGAGCCTCGCATGGGTAATTCTTGGGAACTTAGACAAGTGGTTGATTCTCAGCTGCTTGAAGTTGTCAACCAGGATGCCGAGTTGCTGGCCGAAATCTTTCAATCGAGAACCAGACACGGATACATCAGTATGCTGTGTGAAGAACTTGTCCAAGCGTTCATCAATCTTCCGATCCACAACCTTGTCCACTTGCCGCTCGACTATTTGGTGAACCTCTTTGTGAGTCGGGCATTGCTCTTCGTAGTCAAGAGGGACACATTTGAAACCTTCGAGTGCGTTGACGAAAGCGTGGCCCTTTCTCTCCAGCCACTCATCACATGCTTGATCTACCAATTCCTCGATGCCCTTTGAAGTCAATTCCGCAGATCCAGTTTGTTCGTGGTTTTCAGGGTTCTTCTGGTGCTCCGCCGACGGAACCATTGTAGCGTAATCGCTCACGTCGGGATGCCAGTTAGGGTAGTGTTTAAGTGCATCGGAAATGTGCTTCTTCTTCTTCATAGACTGCTCAGGAAACACGAACATGAAGAGTATGATGTAGACGAACGAATTCGTTCTCTGATACTCCCTAGCCAAGGGGTGTGCATTGCAATCGCGCTTGAACGATGGGCGTTGGTAAAGATACTTTAGGCCATCGAGAAAGGTTTTCTGGTGGAATAGGCGAGGGTTTTTACCCTCTTCACTCCAGAACTCTGACGCCCGAGCATAGTATTCTTCATTGACCTGGTGGATAATCCGAGGCCAGTCATCACATGGAGGCCCAGTGGTCGGCTTCCTTGGATCCCCTCTCTTATCCATCGGGATGTCACCTCGGACAGGCTGAACCTTCATGGAGACTTTCTTGGAGATTTGGGAGCTATCTGAGTCGTCGGTATCGGAAAGATCGTTGTTGCTTGCCATTTTTATGTTAGAGAAATGTCAAGGTTCGAATCTGTTTGGAAATTTCCCACAAAGTGTGGCTTAGTGTTGCTGAACAAGGTCTTTTATAGGATGGTTTCAAGTACTTACTATCAACGAGAAAGATGCTTAAAGGAGGCGTGTAGGTAGATAATCCATATGGTATGAAAATTGAATCTGGCCTGTATCAACGTAGAGCTGAAGGCGAAATCTCAGCTACATATGTGAGCTCACAGTGAACAGTCTCGTCCTTTCTTTGCGGTGGCTTGCAACCTCAGATATGCGTATCATCCCCGACTGTGGGCATACGACCTCGGCGAGGCCAGCAACGCTCGAGAACAAGCCAAAGTCATTAGAATCCGACCAACCTCCGCGGACAGTAAGAAAGCAATCCAGTTTCAAACCGCACCGGATGGGACCAACGCTGGAGCAGAGTTGAGCGCTTAAGAATGTGACGTGACCAATATATCCGGGAATGAAGTAGTTATGCTCGTGGGAAAGAGGCTCGTGGATGACCCACGAATCGCATACACAAGCTCCGTCGAAACCAACTCCACAGCCACCAGGAGGAGGCACCATAAGACAAAGACCCGTCCGGGCGCTATTCTTGCCTTTGCATACCTTGTTCAGTAGTTCGGCAACTGAAGAGAACCGAGGGTATTCAAGTCATGGCACGTGGGCGAAACCGAACGAGACATGTTGACGATGTTTTATTGACTGTCTACGTTTAGGTCGATCTCCGGGTCAGTATTTCCCCAACCACCTTGGCCGTCGCCTTTACGATTAGCGGATGCTCGCGGGCATGCATCTTGTCCTTGAACTGATCTATCTCCTCTCCCTCCCACTTGATCTCCTCAACCATGATGGGAGTGCCCTTGTCTACCTCGTGGATTACATAGTGGGCCATGATACCTGTGCGCGTTAGTCGCCCGGCCTTGAACTCGTCAAAGGCCCGCTCAATGGCGTTGGCGCCGTCAAACTCATCTGCTCGGCTGTTAGCATATCACCTTGGTCAGTTGCTCTTGGAACCTACTTGGCAACGCTCTGCAGTAGATATGTTAGCATTTTTCCATCTCCAATAACATTGACGGGAGATCTAATAACATACGGATGTAAATTGATAATAAGGATGCCAGCCTTTTGGAGAGGCTCCAGGAAAGCCTCGGAGAAGATGTGCATCCAGCCGGCGAGAACAATCAGCTCGGGCTGTTTAGATATCACCTTCTCGGCCAGCGCAGCGTCGTATCTTTGACGAGCCTCGGCGACTTTCTGCTCATCCTTTTCTGTCTTGGGCAGGAACCCATGACTGATTAAATTGTAGTATTCCGAAGGGATGCCTTGTCAAGTTAGAAAACAAGTGTAATGACGAACAAAAAGAGGCCGCCGAGTAGAATCTCACCCGCTTTTTCAGCTCGCACAACCGCGTGCGCCTTGCTCCGGTTCACGAAAAGAGAGATGATCTTGCTGTTGGGGATCTCCCCCGACGCAACGGCGTCTATGAGGGCCTGGAAGTTTGAGCCAAAGCCCGAGGCCATGACCAGGATGCGGCATGGGGAGTCCTGGGCGGCCATCTTGTGAGTTTCAATGATGATATGGCTGGGAAATAAAGGTCGCAATGGGGTATATTCAATAGCAATGAGGTGAGATGCAGTGCTGCCTCTTCAGCTGTTTCCCTCTGCGACGCCGAAATGCGGACCAAGAAAATAATTCTGCGCGGCCAATTATGTCCGCAGCCGGGTAAACTATTCATACGGCGGACTCTAAATACACGCTGACAAGGTGCAAAACTTAACGTATTTTAGGTTTTCTCTTTTCCTTGTCTCGAAAAAAACACATTATTACAATACAATGAATCGTTCAGTTAGGTATTCAGTTTTTCTTGCTCTATTTTAGAGATGTAAATTGTATAGACTTAAGGAAGCGATTTGTGGGGAAAGATTTTCGGACATGTGCATCACACAGGCTTGAAGAAACAGAATTTGAGAGCGGGGCTGGTTGGCACCTTTTCCATCCTTTTTTCTGTCCACCAGAGAACCCAATCATCTACATCTACACACATGAAGGAGAGGGCATACGTAGAATGAGCTGCACTAGTATTGCAGAAGTGTATTGGTAGTTGATTTAGTTTGCGAATATCCATCACCTTGGTATATCTGCATTATTTTGTCGTGAACTCTGGAAATATATTTACAAACAGGGCATCCCCATTAACCTATTATTCTAATCGTGAAGGACTCCTTCTAGGAGGGACGAGCAGACATCTGACCATTTCGGTAGTAATTATACACCCAACGCCCACAAATTTCATACCAAATAACCATGATCTGGATACCATCATAACAAACTCCTAAACGCAACAATGCCACGCTGGCATAAGACAAGGATAACACAAAGAACGATAAGAGTGGGAATCTGAGCAAGTCTCGTCGGAGCGTAGGGGTGGGTGTGCGCTGAAGCAACTACCAGTTGAAACTGCTTCACGACTTCAAAAGGGAAACATACCTCCCCCATCCTGAAACCCTTGGAAAAAGTCGCTGATCCAGGGCTCTTGAAGGATCTGAGCACCGTCCTCGGGCAGTTGGAAGTCGGGGGTGAATCCCAGATTGGTGAAGTCCAGCCCCGTGCCATCAGCCAGACCCATGTCGATGTTCGTTGGGAGGTTGGCCATCCAGGAAGGTTCAGAGGAGGGGGCGGCAGATGAGGCAGCGAAGAAGGGTGGTTGCTGTTGAGGTTGAGACGTTTGTTGGGGGCCTGTCGTGGGATTGATGGCGGGGGAGCCGTCAGAGGCCGAGGATGAAGGCGTGTTTGCATTGTTATTGTTGCTGCTGGTCTCATAGAAGAATGGCTGGGGTTGGTTGCGGAAGCTACCAAGAAGGAAACGTGCCGATCCGCTGGGTTTGTTGGCCCCAGTACCCGTGGCAACTTCGGACAGGAGCTGGAGAGGCGTGTTTACTCGGGCTGGTTCTTGCTGCTGCTGCTGCGAGTTCTGTCTATGAAAGGGCAGTAGCTGCTTGTTGCCAGATGAGCCATCGCCTTCTGGCCAGCCACCAGTCCTGGGCGACTTGGTAGAACCAGCCCCATCACCGCCCTGAGGGTTGTTCTTTGCCTCAAGCTTGCCCTGTTTGATGAACCAGCTCTTCAACATGGCAAGCACGACGAGGAATTTGGAGGCGGGTCGAGACCGATCGTCGGCGGCGGTGGAACGGAACTTGTCGATGAGAAGATCCATATAATAGCCAACCCGAAGATTTTCCTTATTGACCACCTTACCGAGGTCTGAGGTTGGGTTAGATGAAGTGAAGTACATCTTAAGAAGAATAACGAGGGCGTAAGCAACGCGAACGAAATTATAGACGGGCAGGCAACGGACGCTCGCCACGTCCAGTGAAAGAAACGTGGTGAAGATTCCGTTGACTGCGCTAAGACATGACGAGATGGCATTGATGTGGGCGGCGGATAGAGGCTCGGGCCCGATAACACCTTCCTTGAATGCGTCGGTGTTGAAGGGTGGCCGTATCTGGTCGACGGCCGTTTTACTATGAAGCACAATCTCGTGCATGTACAGGCTGATCATCTCGAATCCAAGTATTAGTGCGGCTAGGAAGTCAAAGAGAGTCAGTCAAGGTCCAAGGAAACCACAGAAAACTAATACACCAGTTACTTACGCCTCATGATATCCTCGGGAGCTGAATTCCGCTTGTTTTCCAGTTCCCTCTCGAGAGCCCGCAGGGTGTGCTGCGTTCTCGCCTCGTTGATGTTCACCCGCGCAGTCGCGTCCTCCAAGGCGAACTGATTGCTCACCTCCTCACCCAGCTTGTGTGTCCACACAAGATGACAGAAGTATTTATCCGTTGGTGCGGCATCAGGGGATGACTCCAGTACTTCAAGCGACTCGGCCATGAAAGGGGTCCAGCGGATAAGATTTGGGCGACGCAGCGAGATCGACGTATTGGAGGCCATGAAGAAGCACGCGAGCCATGTTCGCCTGGATTCAACAGTCGTCGGATCAGGTGGTGCTTGGCGCCGCATGGGATGGCTCTGCCAGTTGTAGAGGCCTGTACCAGGCTGCTTGTTACCAAAACTCTTACCCAGGCCGATATCGATAGCCATGACGGCAGCGCTGTGGACCAGCTGGTAGAACTTGAGCTCTTCAAAGTGCTCTGGTGGCCAGTACCACATGACAGCCACCAGTAGAGCCTGGACAATTTCGATGCTCTTGTCGCCACTCAGAAACACCTTGTCCGCAAACACCAACATAACCTCCCTCGACAGGACCTTTTGCAAATCGTTGTCCTCTGACGCAGCAGCCGCCATGGTGGAGAGGAAAAGGACAGGTTTGTTCTTTCGAAGATCAGAAACAGTCATGCTTGGAGGGTGTACGACAGCAGGGAGGTTCGGCGCCATGCGATCACGATATCGCGCGAACAGCTCGGTCGCCTTCGCCATCGTGAGGATGCCGCGGTCGACAACGTCGCTATCCGGTACCGGCGTGAACGCACTACTAGCAGCAGCCACAGGTGATTGCCTGTGATCGTCGTCCGCGTTCGTGCTCCATCTTGCGGGCAGCTTTCGCTTCTGGCCGGCTATGACCATGGGCGCCTGGAATGCCGGGGGTGTTGGATCGACTCGTGCTTGCGGAGGGGCCGACGCCGCTGACCCTCCTCCCGGTGGTGTCACGGACGGGCCATTTGATCTGTCCAGACTCCCGTGTCTCACGGTTGCCGCCTCGCTTCCCCAGGACCTCTCGTGACTTCCAATGCCTCCACTAGCAACCCCCTCTGTCGAAGGAGCCCTGTAGTATGAGCTCCCATGGCTCCCTGGCGTCGTATGCTCGTTCGGCCCGCCGCCTGGGCTAACGCTGCTCATCCCAAGCACATGTGGTGATGAGGAGGCACCTAACACGGGAAGGACGGGGATGCCGCCAGCGCGGGCCTGCAGGCTCGCCGTCAAAGCATCGATTTTCCTCTCCAGCTCGGAAACACGGCTGTCCGTCTTCTTCTGCCTCTTGCGCGTCGGCTGCGTGACCACACACTTGCGCGACGCCTTCTTGCAGCGCTTGCATGGCCCGCCGTCCGGATCCGGATCACACCGCACCTTCAGACCACGACAGGCCTCGCATGCTCTCGAGCGTTTTGGGTCGGCGCCTCCGTCCTGGTCATCGCCACTGTGGTTGTCGTCGTCGTCGCCTCCTTGTAGGTCCTGGTCTCTGGTTGCGCCAAGATTATTGGACGGCGTGTCGGCGTCTGCAAGGCCCGTGGTGCGTCCAGCGATCGAGGATGAGTCGGGGACGGAGACAACGGGAACGAGGTCGCTTGCTTCGAGTCGCGGATCGAGCTCCATCTTCTTTGGCGTCGAGTGCCAGACTAAAAAGTCAATATTCAGCACCGCGCTGGTTCCTTTTCAACATGGAAATCCCAACCGCTCGTCAATTGCCAAGCCGTACTGGTACGTTGCTGGGCATTGCTGCGCAAAGCTCGGAGTTGATTGTCGCCGAGTGCCGGGTTATCGGATGACTAAGCCTACACGACCTCTCGTCATAGCCTCCTTTCATATCTACATCCGGTACCTAGGTAACTACCACAAACAAAAGGACATTAAGATGCTGTGCTGAGCGGTTTAGTCAGGCTTCATTTCCAGGACATGTATCAATAGGTAGCTGACCACCTAAATATGTGGCAACTTCTCGTTACTTTGTTTATATGTACAAACTTCGCACCCTCTCCTCCATCGTCTTCACTTGGGGAGCCAGGCTGACATGACAGCCCAAGCTGCCAATAAAACGCCTCAATTAAGTATACATTCAACCTCTTTCTCCGCGGTCTTCTGCCCAATATAGAAAAAAGAATGAGTGAGAAAACGAGTAAGGATTAGGGCAAGAAAAATACACAAGATGAAAATGAAAATGAATTGCCAAATCATCCGATATAGACATTACGGCTTCGTCGTTAGTCCTTAGACGTTATCGATCAGAGGGGACAAGGAATATGTGTGCTTGAGGGATATGAAAGGGACCTCATATGGCCCACGACACTATCTCCAGCCCCGTCGTCCCTGTTCATTAATAAGAAAAAAAGATATGTATGTCACAATCCTTCTTCAGTCATCAATCCTCATAGCGCATTGACCTCAAGGGCAATAACAAAACAGGAAGGAAATGGTATCATGATGATGTTGTTGCTGAAACAAAAATTAGGGGAGTAGAAACAAAGACAATAGGTACTGGAGAAGAAAACCAGTCGAGTGTGCCTTCAGTGACAATTGCGTCGTTCCATTCTAGAACCGCGTCTCTTCCCGGAGACGACTTTTTGAATTTTGAGGTTGTAGCCCAAGCATATTTCCCATAAACATGACGCTCTCGCGACGCCTACTGGTTGCAGATGGATCTTGTACAGTCAATCCGCCGGCGCTAGGCTCTTCAACTGGTGATTGTTGAGAGGCTGGACCTCGGTTGGACGAATACAGGTTGTAGGCCTCGGACACAGTTGGTGAGCCGGATGCGCTCTCAGTTCCAGGCCTCTGGCCTAAGCTCTGAGTCGTAGAGCGTGGAGAATCATGACCTTGACGTCCCAATGGTGGAGTAGGAGTTCCCCTATGTGCAATGAGCGGCGGGGTTGGAGTTGATCGATTGTTGTGGTAATACGACATTGAATCCAAGCGCGGTTGGCGGTGTGGCGAAGCACTGCCGGATGAGGTCGAGGGTCGAGGAGGTGGCGGATCGAATTGGATGGGTGAGTCGACGGGTCTGTTCGACTCGCGATCTGCGTTGGCCGATGGGAGCTCATACTCTTCGGGAGCAATACCGAAGATGGGCTCATAGTTTTGCAAAAACATGGCAAATACTTGCGCCGGGATGTTCAACGTCGGTGAAAAGACAATGCCCACGTTACGCACAGGCATCTTGTTCATATCTGAATTATTAATAATCTTGATCAGGAAAGCAATCAAGTACTTGAGCAGGGTAGCGTTCGCAAGCGGTAACCTCTGCACCAGTTCGCTGAGAGCCGCAACTTTGTCTAACCGGCTGACAAGCTCCGTTGTCCCCAGGAACTCAAGGTGTAATTCTCTCGTTAATATTGTCGACGGCAACTCTCGCAGGTAGAGCTTGAGCAGTGAGGCGACTGCATGGATGTCGTAGAACTGGTCGTCGGTTACCAGGTTCACATCACCCTCCACATTAAATCTCTCGCGAAGCCCTTTGATTACCACGCTGGAACCGCTCAGGCGGAAGATACCCTCCTCAAGAATAGCGTCCTTGGACTCTAGGAACTGAATACATCTGTAGACAACTGAAGGTAGAGGTACGTCCACGTCGTGCGGTGGGCTGAAACGTACGGCCTCGCCCAAAGTGGAACCAAACACCTGGTGTGCTGGTCCATGGTACGAACTACCCGAGGGAGCTGTGGTTGAGAAGCCGTCACCCACGGAAGGAATGGAATCTTGCCCGTCTGAATTGGATCGTGTCTTTGATCCGAAACCAAAAAAGCTTCGCTTCCGTACCTTCTTCTCCTCACTTGTTGGAGCCGTCAAGCCTGTCTTATTACCCCAGGCCGCAAGGTCTGCAATGGGTTGCGGGTCTTTCGGTCCCGATATTAGCTTGGGAGTCATCGAGTCGCTATTGTTATAGTGATGCCCGAGATGGTCGCTAGAAGCACCAGATGTTTTAGGTCTACCACCCAACTGCGGGACGTCACCGACCTGCGTAGAATCGTATCGAACACCAACCAAAGTATCCGAGTCTTGAGTCTGATGGTACGACCTTGGTGGTGGCATACTCTTCCTGCTCCTAGCCACATTGGATTTGCTGGTCTGCGCTGGTTCCTCATCCTCATTTTCACGATAATCAGTCCACTGCAACAGGGCGTTTACCCAAAGATCTCTTTCCTTATCGTTCTCTGCACATAGAACGTGCTTGACATGGCTATTAAAATCTTTCTTCTTGGGCTCCAGAATTCGAAATGCATGGCGGTAATTGTTGTCCATCTCGTCGCTGTTCGGACCCCTAGGTGGAGAGTGGTTGTCGCCACTCTGCGAGTGTCTGACAATTTGTGCATTCTGCAGTCTGATCGTGCCGAGGTGAGCACCGCCCGGAGTTTCGTAGTATTTCAACAGGGGGCCATCAAGAAGGAAAAATCTCGATTTCCATCCACCAAAGTTTTTGCCTCGCTTGGTAAGATAGCCACTACGAATGGGGCGCCCATCTGGACCGATCATATGCGAGCTTCCCTCTCGTGCTCCGCCAGTCCCGGTTCCTAGTTCATCCACATTCGGAGGGAGAGCGTTTCTCGAGAGATACTTGCAAAGCTCAAATGCCGTGTTTGGATCCAAGGGAGTATTCAAAACTTCTTCCATGTAATGCTCCAGTGCTGCGCGCCTAGCGTCCACTTTAGCAGGAGCATGGCCAGAAAACAGAGACTTGTCCGGCGTCCTTGCGGTGAAAGCCGGGCATTGCTTGAGCCGTTGGTCCAATTTTGACAGAGAGGCTGAGTCCTTCTCGAGACGCCATAACTCACTACGATCAGCACGTGAAATGACGGCCAACGTAAACACAGGGTCTTCTTCAAGCTGGGTGAGCGAAATCAGACTTGCCCGCGAGGGCTTCATCCGAGATGAGGCAACACGGATTGCAATTGATGGTAAAGCGTTGGGGGCCAATAAAAGATCAGGGAACTCCTCCGTGATTAGGCCTCTGAAGATCTTTGTCCGTTCAGTTGGGGTCGTCGCTACCGTGGGGCTCATGAGTCCTTCTTTGGGCGACATCAAGGACTGGTCGATAGAAGCCACTGCCGGTGTTGCGAGTGGTGTATTCGGAGGCATAGGAATTGGTTGGCGGGGAGGCCGTGGTGACAAGGGGCCTGAAGGAAATGCCCCAGCATTCCTAGGAGACAGTGGCGGAGAGTGTATGGGAGGTCTCACATTCACAGGTCTAGGGCTGAGTGGCAGCCCGGGGCTCATCGCTGGAGATCCTGGGTCGCTGTACTCCTCGGCTTGAAGGACTTCGGCAAGCGATAATGAGCTAGCATGTGGGCGTTGCCCCGAATCCTGGCGGGGGCTGGGAGGGACGGCTTCGCCAGTCGAGTCGGGTTTGCTGGATGAGCTCTTCTTGGAGGCACTTCTTGCTTCGGCCTCCATTTGGACCCTGAGCCCTCTGTCCAACTCATCCTCTGCCCGAGTTCGCCTTCGGCCACGCTTGTCGCTTCCACTTCCCAGGTCGGCAGATTCTAGAATTTCATCCAGGTCCGAATCCGTCTCTTCCTCTTGTACCAACTCCTTAGTAGGCGAGTTTAGCTGGAGTGGAGCAGGAGGTGCCTTTCGTGGTGGCGCTGGAAAGCCGGCTACCCCTCCTTCCGATCGAACTCTTGCCTCATTCACCATAGCAACAGGAGATCCAGCGGGAAGCTTCGTTGATGGGCCCTTGGGAGGGTCCGGAGGCAGGGCACGGGTAGGTGGCTGTGAGGCATTGAACTGCAAATCCTTGAGTGAATCCTCCTTCTTTAATCTCGGTACCTGATCTGACTTTTCTTCTGTATCTCGGTCAACTCTGCCCGGTGCCCGATCTCTGATCTTGGGCAGAATTCGAGAGGGGTCCTGAAGTCGAGGTGCGTCTGGAGGTGGTGGCATGGCCGATTGGTCTGGGATAGACCCGGGTGTGATGGGCGTGACTGGGTAGGGAGGAATCATCGAATCGATGGGGGAGAAGGCTTGGCTAGGTGAGTCCAGGGACGATGCGTCAGAGAATCCCATCGACGACTGGTTGACATCAATCCGAGGGACATTGGGCCGAGAGGGGGTCTGTAAATCGTTCAAACTCGTCGGGCTAAAGGCGGCGCTGGATATCAGATCCCTCAATTTCAACCTGTACTTTTCTTTTTCCTTCAGCGCCCGCTCGAGGTCCTTGTTGAGGCCCAGAATCATGGCCCGTTGCTTGTCTACCAAACGCCATAGCTGGGTATTCTGTTGCGACTGCGCCTGTCTCTCCTTGAGAAGGGTTTGAATGACTGCCTCTGGGCTTCCTGCCTTATTCACCAGGTTCGAGACATCGGCCGCTCCGTACCCGGAGTCTTGCGAGCCATGTTGCTGAGCAGGCCTATTGGACGAGAGAGCGGATATCGCAGAGTCGATGGAGGAAGTCCGAGGTAGCCCAGCAGATTGTGAAATTTCTTGGGCAGCACCCACTGGACCTGACATGGCCGGCTTTGGTGACCTTTGAGAGTCACTGGCAAGCCTGGGAGCTAGGGGATCGGAAACGAGGCGGGAATCATCAGGAGCGGTAGGCGAGGAGCACCTGAAGCCAAACTTTAGGTTAGCGAAATTGGAGGCTGCTGGAGATGATGTTCAAGGTAAAACACGAACCGTCTGGAATTCTGCGGCTCTGGGCTTGGATCCCTCGACGAGTCGCTGTAAAAAGTCGTAGGCTCCTCAGGTCCAGAACCAGAATTAGACTGGGTATTGTCGAAATGTCGCGGACCAAGATTGCCCGTGTTCGAGTGTGGTGGAAGGAAGGAATCTTGACGAGGGCTCGGGCTTGGCGAGGTTCTGATAGTCCAGCTACTGGCCGACAGAGGACTTGGGATAGGCGGTCTTTGTGTCCTGTGGGATGCACGATGCGCGCGTCAGTCGACTTGAATGTGTGCAACGGCAAAAAGGGTAGCTGTTTCACGGCAGAAGCGCCGACAGGAGGGACCGGGGTATGGGTAATATGTATATTAGAAGGTGGGACAGTTGGGTAAGTTTGGGCGGGTTTTACACAGCGTCAGCCGTTGAAGGGCAGTGGGAGAAGAATGCAAGCTGATTGGTATAATAAGCAATGTCGTGGGTCAAGGAGCATGGGAGGGTGATGAAGGCAGGTGTTTGCTGCATCTAGGTATCGGATGGGGGGTCTGTCGGGTGCGAGCACGGTAGTGCTCCGGAGCGGCAGGAATGCTCACAGGCCCAGAGACAGGGCCGCTCCCCTTTGCAAGGTCTGACTGGGCCAAGCGACACGGGACGGGAAGCGCAGAAGGGGGTGAGGGGATTGGCCAGAGACAAGGCTGCTGTTTCTCACCTGGGACTGTAGGCCGGTGATGCTACAGACAAAGGCACAGGGACATGGACCCGGCGCCCGACAGTGGGACTATCGTCGAGTTTGTTGAAGCCAGAGCCATCGTCAGCGACAGACGAGGCTGGGGGATCGTGATGGGCGAGCCTCGACATGGTCTGGTGCTCTCGTGATCTCCCAGTCGGGGAAGGTGGGCAAGGTGCCAGGGCCTTGCCTTGACCGACCAGTACCTGTCAACTGTCCAATTGCCCAAACGGATGACGGGTTATGCAGCTCTCGCCGCTGAGGCTCCGCGGTACATGGACGAGTGTGTCTGTACAGTCGTACTGGGATGGCAATGTAAGGGGGAGTAATGAAAAGGGTGGGGGGTGGGAGCGCAATGGGAAATCTTGCCGCCGCCGCTTAAGGTGAATGGGGTGGCTTGAACATTGAAGGGGGGAGGAGAGAGGAGAGAACCCTGGCAAACCGTTCCTAGCCTGCCTCGGATTTGCTTTGTTCTCTATCAAACCCCTTTTCTTGGACGACAGAGGAATTCGCTACTAAATGAATCGCCTCTTCTAGTCTATGCATTCCCCTTTTGAAGAGTACGGCACATGCATGTAGCAGGCGACTCCTGCCTTAGTATTGAAGATCACAAGACTTGGCGAAGACGAAACAAGCTATGGAGGGGAGCTGGCCACTTGGAGCCTGTGCCCCATCATGGATGAGCAGTCTGCATGGCAACTCGCAAATTCCTCCCTTCAGTTAGAGTGCACTGCTATTCCTCCAGAGTGGTAATCGAAGCGCTTGCAGGGATTTTGTATGGTCCCACGACGGCTTTTTATCCCAACCCGCGCGCTTCCTCTCCGTAGACAGACTGGGAGTTATTATGCGGTTAACAGCGCGCATATAGGGAGGTCCGGAGGTACATTACATCAGGCTGGGTCAAGTTAGTACTGTAGTAGTGTCGTAGTACCTGGGCAGTATTATAAAATAACATAATGTAACACTACTAAGGTTGTGGTAGCGTCAAATGCGCTATGTTCTTAGATCGCAGGCCCTCCATACATTAGATGGTTTCAAGGGCTGACAAGTCCAGTGACGAACCCCTCGTCGATCAGCCAGTTCGCTGCGCACTCCAATCCGGCTCAGTAAACTTGGAGCAGCGAAATAAGAACACCCACCGTGCTCTGCTGATCCTATCTCCAAGGCACGCAACAACCCTGAGCTTTTAGCCTGCTCACAACATCCAGCCGTCCCGCAAGGACCGAAGTACGCGGTGGGTAATGTGCCTGCATGGCACTTAAGCCCCCGGCCCAGAACCCACTGTTATTACAGTGGGTTGCAGTTCGCTGTTCAGAGGTGTCATGCACGCTGATTAGCTTCTCCCTGTGGCCAATCAACTCCTGTCCGCAGGAGAAAAAAGGGTCGCTAGAATTGCAACTTCATTTTAAATAACCGCCACTGTGTCGGCACTGATACAAACCGACATCTAAGATGTTCAGCAGCAAAACCGCCAGCCCGTTAGCTCAATGTCTCGAATCACCGCCTCCGGGGTCCCCTCAGAGTCCCCTGAGTGGGTGCAGTAAAAGGTCACGGCCAAGGTGGCATCAGACCAGGGAGGCGTCAAACTTTACCATGGTCAATGGAAACTTGGTTAGGGGGGAGACTGAGCATTGATCCCCAGGAGATCTGAGCTGCGAGAGTCCCTCGAACCCACCGTTGCACTGCTGCAGCTTTTAATTTGATCGGGGCCGGCCCAGGGGCCCCAGTCGAGACAATGCTGGAATGGTGTCGTTCAGGGTCCCAGCCGACACTCCCAAACCAAGAAAATCCTGGAGCCATGCCGGCTTCTCCCATGCAGGAACCTTGGCTTGGCCATCGCGTTTTCGTATCTACCCTAAGGGCCGAAGCACTGACTCGGTTGCGCGCTCTCCCAATCTGATAGCAAACCCTCCGTTTCGGCAAATTCCTCTCTGAATTATACTGATCGTCACAGGTGCCCCGGATTTTATTAATTGAGCTGTCCTCGAGAGACCCGGCGGTTCAGGGTTCATCCGAGAAGGGTAGCGATGTGACGTCTCGGTGGTGTTGATGATATGATACGCTTCCCCGCGACGGTAGCATTTCTGCTGCTACTGCAGAATCGCCACTACAGTCCACGAGGAAATTATGCTCCGAGCTGCAAGATGGCTCAACCAGTGCAGGGTTTCCCGGTTCACCACCAATCATGAGCTCCATTCTCCCATTGAGCCCTCCATCGATGTCCCCTATCTCCCAGGGTTTTCACATTTGACAGCTGTGCGCACGTCCGGCATTGCTCGCCCCACAACGAGACACCACGTATCTGTGCCCAGTTTCTTCCTTCTACTTCTGTAGGTGATGTGCAGCAGTGTGATACTACCTACTCGCAAAGAACTTGGATTGAAACAAAGATTTCTCGGGCAAATGGGTCCAATTCAGGAGAAAACTTGCATCCCGCCAGTTGACAGGCCCTTCCCACCACTACCGTACACGAGGCGACCTTCCTGCATGCATGCACTACCTCTGTAGTCGCTGTTTACATGCCTGCGTGCATTTACATGATCAGTCAAGTCATTGTTGCCAACTGTCAGCTTGTATTATGACTAGTCACGGCAATAACACATCAAACACATGGTACCAGCTCCATATAATGATAGTCAGATAATGCAAAGAAAAATTTCGTTGCACGGGGGAGATTGGTCGCGCGACTACTATTCCGCCAGATCGAAGACGGAGAGCACGTGCCTTCTCGTAAATAATAGGTATGCTGCTAGATGCCGGTTGCATTCTCACCCAAAAAGTTGGATACTCAACCCAGACTGCCAACCAACTATGCCATACCTACCTTAGGAAGACAATAGTTGCTAGTAGTAGAGAGATATCATTTGCCTTCCTTTAGACTAATGCAGGACTATATAATAGCATTGATTGCGATATTTTGTGATACGCTCTAAACTGTCACAGAAGCCACTTATCAACCTCTATGATCCCTGAAGGCTCTATGAACTAAGTTTTTAAGAGCAGGTAGTAGGAATTTTCACACAAATCGCTTCTAGCTAAGACCTATCCAATAGACAACGTTGCATTCGTTACATTTTCCCTTTCGGTTCTCTCAGAGATTTTCTGGATTTATCAACCGATTCGTTTGTAAGTGTACGGCTGCTCCGGACTCGGTCGGGCCATCACGACGACACCCGGACCTGGTTCGTTGGGTGGCCTTCGGCTGGCCACGGCGATGGGAGTTCTGTCATCTACAATAGCATGGTTCGGAATGTTTGTTCTATAGCCTGTATGCTCATATTTCATGCCATATGCTCGAACGGCTGGCATATGCATCATTGGCTCTTTCCATCCGAGCAGGTGCTCGCTCGCTTGTGTCTCGGGGATTGACGGCATTGGTTGCGCTGGCCGGCACCGAGCTTCCACGGCAGTTCCAGAAAGCCAAGGACCGCCTCGTCTCCCAATCATAGACGGATTGGATGGATCCGAGGCCATCTACTGCCTAATCAGAGCACGCAAGCAAGATTTTGCAATGGCATCAGCGCCCAACTGGGGAGACCTGCCCAGCCCTGCACAACATTCATGCAGAACTCCGTCATGTGGCTTGGCCAGTGACTTAGGTAAGCAGAGGTGCCTGGGACAGACTTCCTTGTGGCCAGTAGCAGCTGTCGGGAGACCCACTCACCAACGGCCCCGCAATTGACCCAAATCTTGGTCATTCGGCGTTGGGTGCAAACGTCATATGGCAGTGCAAAAGCCCAGGTAGTCAATGCGCCATCCTCAGCTGTCCTGCCTTCTCTATTCCCTCATCTCCTCACTTCTGTTTCTTTCTTTATCGTGCCCAACAACCCAAATAGACTGGCATCGCCTGCGTCATTTTTTATCACTTCAGCGTATACAAACCATACCGCATAGCTGCCGTACACCTTAGCCCCTCCTGCTAGGATTGATATCACCAAACACCCAAACGAGCCACAGCCCGCCGCCATCTTACACAACACGCCTGCTCATTTATCCCCGATATATCGACCTATCACGCCTTCAGAATGCGTTAGTATCCCTGTATCACACGTGTTTTCTCTCTCGTTTCTTGTGCTAACTCCGAGCCACTTAGCTACTTCGCATGGAGTCAAGAAGCGACTCTATCTCTCCCACCCGGAGCCTGACGTCGCAGTCGTCCGCAGGAGCGTCACCCGCTTCATACCGCCCGAAAGGAGACCGTCCCCCCCTCCCAAGTTCGTGAGGCCAGCTCCTCTACCACCGCCGCCGCCGCCAGTTCAGAAGCCCGCCCCGCTTCCACCTCCACCTCCGCCCGTGGTAGCTCCCCCGGTGTTTGTTCTCCCACCACCGCCACCACCCCCTCCTCCGCCGCCTCCTCCTCAGCCAAAGCCTGAGAAGATCGAAATCGATGTCATCTCTGTCGATGTGGATCCTCCCAAACCGAGGAGGAAGAGAAGCCGGTCCCGGAGCAAGCGCAGATCCCCACGAGAGTCCCGGGAGCTCGAGAGGGTCATCGAGAGAGACCACTTCATCCCTGTGCCGTACCCCGTCGAGGTCGAGCCCCAGTACGACACTTTCCGTTACGTAGAAGGGCCGAGACGGTACGAGCATTCCCCATCGCCGCCACCGCCGCCCAGGAGGGCGATAGAGGAAGACACGCGGATAAGGATCTCGGACCGTGAAAAGTTCCGTGAGCGCTGGTAGCGGATTCGGTGCCTGCGAGAGGACGGCTGCTCCTGATGGTGGAACCTATTGATGATGATGATTTGATATGAATGGCTTTGGTGTTTTCCGGTTGTATTCTGTTGGTTTTGTTTTCATGTGCATATCTGTATTTCTGGAAATGAAATTTTTGGGGTTAAATGGCCACTATGTTTCGTATAAATGTGGAAGGATGATCATATGAAAGAAAGCATGCACGATAGTCTCTGAGCGCACATTTATTCATTGAAAGTCCATGGTATACTTTGAAGTTAAGCACTCTGTGTTAGCTGTATACGACATCAGAGGTCAATCATTTAAGTCTTCCATCTTGGAAATAGTGCTTGTCTTGTACAGTTGATTCTAACACATGCAATTTTGTCGTCCTAGTATCAAAATAGAAAAGAAAAACCAGAACCATTCGAGCGAAGCTTCCAAAAAAAAATCACTTCAATTATAACACCATGCTCCCTTTTTGTAGAAGGAAAACAAGGAACGCTCCAAACAAGTGCAACGAAATGAAAGAACCTTTTGCAAATGAACCGAAAAAAACATGAAAATGAAAAGCAGAATATAGGTTAGCAAAGAATGCGCAGAAAATAAATGCCCCCAGTTCGCCGCGGAAATGCAGAAGTGAAGAAAGCAGAATGAAGAAAAAGAAAGCGCCCGGTGCCATGCTTTTTGCCGCGTGCCCAAAAAAAAACTATAGCGGCAACAGAAAAAGCTCGAGAAGGTTGATTATTATGCATTACAGCAGGAGATGCAATCATTCCTAAAAGAAATGTTGTTTCCAGCGTCGTGGTTGGCCATAGACCACACCACTACCATGCGTCATATGAGCTCCAGGTCCCCGAGAGTCGAAAGAAACGAGAAATGGGAATCGAAATCCCGGAGAACTTATTTTGTACCTTATGCGACGATTCTCAAAAGAGTGTCGTTTGCCAAAAGCGTATCGAGTGCAGCGTCATCGGGGATAACACTTCCTGTCCAGGAGTATGACCGCTCCCGTAGCTGTCGATATTCGATCTGGTCGGCCAATATCTTAGGCATCCAAATCATCCATTCCTGTGAGGCCAGTTGGTGGACAAATTGAGGTCGTGCGAGAAGCCAGAAGAGGGTTGCGTCAAATATGCCGCCCATGGCCAGCCTGAAGGGCTTCATAAGCTCCTGCGAACTCTGGCCATACATAATATCCAGAGCACCGTAAAGATGGTTGGGGCCAAAATCAAACCACCAAATACTCTGGCCCTCGTGATCCAGAACCCGTGATGTAATCATTCTAGCAAGATCGTTGGCCGTATTTTCGATGACTCGGAGGATGTGAGCGACCATGCCTTTCACTCGCAGATATACTGCAGCACAGTAGACGAGGGCGCATCTTGAAAGATGGGCCGGGTCTGATGGTTCCGACTCGTCACATATTTCGATTCCTAAAGAGTATGAGGATATATTTGCAATCAGGAAGGTTGGGAATTCTTCACTCACGCTGCGTATACATGAATCTTAAGCAGTAGGCGGTGGTTTCAGGGGCGCATGTCAGAGTGATGTCAACTATAGAGCCGTCCTTTCAAAAACACAATCTAATCAACACAGTTTTCTTTACATAGTTATTGAGATTGGGGCCAATTCCATTTGCAAACTTGCTCACCTCGTTGGCAGGGGGGAGGTTGTCCCGGAACCACCCAGACTGGGCAGTGACAATGTCTCGATGGACCATGAAAGACATTGTAGAAGTGACCACCCTGACATCTGCGCCGAATGGATGTGCCCATAGACTGTTTAATTAATTCCATTAGTATTTCGTCTGCCTAGTGATTTTACCAGGGATGGGTAGAGAGTTGGTAAACAGGGGGCCTACTTTTCTGTTACTCTAGGCACGGCAGCCTGGAGTACTGTCTGGGAGCCATTGGAACTTGTCGAGTCCGACCGATGAGTCCTACTCGCGCTCGTTTCCGGCTGAGCCGAGCTCGCAGAATGTGTCGAGGCAATAGATAGAGGCGGAGGGGATTTACACTCCTCCTGGCCACCATCAACCTTCCAGGCAGTGCCGGGGAGGGGAGGGTCTTCGGAGAACAAGTCCAATGGTACTGGTTTCGGCTTTGGAGCTTTGCTTGCCGTCTGCCAAGGGTTGACTTTAGGCGGAGAAGCGGGCCGTAGGCTATTACTGCCAGGTTCTGGCTTGATGGTAGCCAAGGGCGCCGGAGAAGGCGATGGCACGGATGAAACAAATGATGATGGGGGGAGGCCCATCGGCTTCCAGCTTCTGCTGTCTTTCGATGAACCCTTCATGATGAATGGCGAGTAAGCGGAGGGTGAGGCGAGACAAGTTCGGTGAACGGGCGACTGTGTGCTTTTTCTGGTGTTGTTGTTAAAAGCAACTAAAGGAAGCAGGCGAGGGCTAGCCAAGGTGGTAGGTTTGTAAGCTTGGGGTGTGGCGGGTAAGGGTAATCCTGGAATGATTATAGAAGGGATACGAGGAGCTAATATCTGCAGCTACCGCGGCACAGAAGCTGGATTGCAAGAGAGGAAGTCAAGGTCGGGCGCGTGTTGCATAATGCTCCGTGCATGACGATGAATCAGAGAGCATGGAGGGAGAGGAATTATTTGTAGGTACGAAGCATCAGGTCAAAGTCCCCACGGTTGGTGGTGGTGTTCGGTCCGAGGTGAGGTGGATGTGAGCTGGGAGTGAGTGGGAGATGTGATGAGCTGTGTAACCGCCAGCAGCCCAGTCGCAGGTGAGGAGAAGGTGTTGCAAGCGTCCACAGGGACTATGTGGTCATACAAAGCTCATAGATATATGGGTGGTGCCGCATGGGGAACGGAGCACAAGAGAAGAGGGGCAGGGATGGCAGCTGGGGAATTGGGTTGGGTCTGGTCGGGTTTGGTCTGGTCTCTCGACTTAATATAGTAGAGGCTGAGTGACGAATGAGTCGGAAAGGGGATACTCCATCGGCAGGCAGGAGAGGGGAGCAGAGGAGAGCACAACGGGCCGTACGGAGCATGTACCTAGGGACGTGGAGCAGCAGAGTGGAAAAAGTAAGCAAGCCAGTCCACCTACCGAGAGCCTAGAGTACGTGGATATTGAGTGAAATAACAAGCAGTCATGCTTGCCGGATGGCTGGCTGGCAGGCTAGATCGACGGCTGGGTCCTGGGGGCGTGTGGTGTAGGTAGCAGACGTGCATTCATGGGTGTCGTATGTAAAGTATGCACGTCTGTCGCCAGTGGTGCTGGTGGCGCGTTAACTCAGGACCTACGACGCACAACTGCGACCGACCTCCACATAACACCTCCCTGCTATAGCCATAACGCCTTTGCCATGCCATGCCATGCCATGCCCTGCTCTGTCCTGCCCGGCCTCGGGTAGCATCTCATCGACGCCTAGGCATACACCTAAATAGGTCAATGGCGGGCGAGCGAGGTGGCAGTGGTTGGTTTAGCAATAAATAGTACAGGCACGTGTGGATACATTGACATCTTACCGGTCCTGGGGCCCCGGATAATAATGGATTGTGCTAGCAGGTGGTGTCGATGTGTGTGTGCCCCTCCCGCTATGAGAGCTGTACCTGGTTGGGAGGCCAGTCAGTATTATATCGGAGATATGTAGCGCACATCACCCGCCGTCCCTTACTTGCCACGCAACTGGGCAAATCGAGAGGTCTTACGGAGAGAACAGCCCACGGGGCGCGTGTTCTCAGCCTCCAGCAGGGGAGAGCATAGCATTGTCAATCTCGACTATCTCCATAATTCATTTCAGGCGAGCTATCGAGCTGTGGAGGTATCCAGGCGATCTTCTTCCCGTGACAGGACATGGATCGATGTTGCGCATGTGGCCCTTGAACGTAGCCAGATGCTTGCGTTCATCAAGCAGAAATCTGGCAGGCAAAGCGCCAATCGGAGACTGCGACGTATTCCAGGCTCAGGAACAACTCACTGCGCTGCCTGCGGATTGTTTGATGCGCGCCACCAGGAGGCGGAAGACCGATCAAGCCCCATGTATTCAGCTCTTCTTTGCTTTGCTTGGTCTAGCCCGGCTCTGCTTTGCTTTGTCCTGCTGCCAACTTGCTTGCTTTGCTTTACTCTCACCAGCCAAGGGCCAAGCAAAGCACAGCGCTTTGGAAACCCCGTGACTGGGTACAGGGGAGTGATGGCCGCTAAAAACGGCCACCCGGCGCGCTCCGCATCACGGATCCGCACGTCGTTCTCGGGAGCAGCAGGCATTAACCTCCAAAGATATAGTTGATGCGTGTCCGGCTCGGGTAAATTTGTTCCATAGGTAGGTAAGGTAGGTATACAATAATACTTGCCAACCTACCCCCTTGGGCAACGGAGGGCAGCCCATCAGGGTGTGGGAAACCGTACCTTACATGTCCACCCCGACCAACCAACCGGCCAGCCAGATTCCGTCATCCAATCTCCGATCGAGTTTACCGTGCCCCTCCTCCACTCTCATTTTTCGCCATGGATATACTATTCCAGCGTAAGCAGTGAATGTGAACACCAGGCAGTGACATGCCCAGCTAGGTAGTAGGTAGCTTCAGGTAGGCAGCTTGTGAGATAAGCCTTATCGAGAAACGCCACAAGGTTGGCCAGATCTAGGGCCTAGCGCCTGGCAACTCGCTGAGTAAGGGCAGTCCAGCTCTGTGGTTGGCTCCTGTCTGCCGATGCCATTTTGGACAAATCGGTACGGTTGCCAGAGAGTTCGATTACGTGACTTTGTCAGCCAAATCGGCTCCATGCACTTCTTTCATCAGAACATCACCCACGACGCCGGCAATCAGAAGCTATCAACACCACCAGCATTCTGTACAGCACCCCCACTGCAGCCGACAGCATGTCTGAAGGTCCCATCTCTATTAGCTCCGTGGAGCAGTTCAACAACCTTTTGAAATCCTCGAAGATTGTTGTCGCCGACTGTAAGCTGCCTCTCTATGCCCCGCCATGCAAGGTCCCCCTCCCCGCCCAATCCCTCGCATGCAAACCCAAACCCCTTCATAGAGGTCAA